ACAGATGGCGCTAAAATTTGTACCATATATCAAGAAAGGGTGTACCAACATAACAAAAGAAAAATTTTTTGATAAAGGGCTATTACTTAAGGAGTTGTTAACAAACAACAAAATCCGGATACTTTTTGAGCAGAAGGTATAGCTTATAACTGAACTATATAATAAACGTTTCTTACTTTTGATACCACTGAGCACAAAACATTTGGAGATGTTCTAAAGAAATTCGAAATTGTATTGTGGCATATCCAATTCACAATACAATACAGTACAATACAATACAGCACCATAGCCTTCAAAGTACATTTGGTTTTAATTAATAAACCCTGTAACCATGTATTGATATTCTAGCTGCTATATTTCCTCGTGACCCTAAATTATGTTTGCTCTTTTATTACGGCAGCTTACAAGTGTTTAATGTGTAGGAGCAAACTTCAGCTTTTAGACGATTTAAATTACACAAGTAGTAGATACTTGTATGATATGTATGGTTTCTAATAGATCGGAGACCTAGATTTTCAATGTAAATATTAAATGAATTTTAGAGTTTTACTAATCGCTGCTTAAAATAAAACAAACTTAAAAAACATTATTTAAACAATAATTTACAAAACTAATTTGTACTTCTAATTCAGTATTAATCGTATATATACGTTTTGTTGCTTACCAGCAGTTGCAAGCTATTCTTTATTGAATGTTTTCAACTGAAAGGTATATTAATGCGTAGTGCACCACCATTAAGGATTTAGAAATGCTAAAACGTGATAATGGTAACTTTATACATAGCAAAGTTTTTCCACATATGGTTTTTAAAGTACTATACCTAATAAGAGTGGTTATGGAAACTGATAGAAATTTCTATTTTTAAACTAATCAGTAGAAAAACAGATTAATTGATTATTATAAGTAGTATATGTTATTGTTTTACTGTTGTGCTTTAACTGCTTTTGTTTCAAGATCCTCATATTATTGAAAATTATATTTATTTAAAAATTTCGAACTTATACAGTCAGTAACATAATATATATAATTGTTCTCAGTATGTCTCCATGGTATCTATACCTGTAGGAAGCTACAATTTAAAATATTTTCTTATCTCTCTTTAGTTTTAGCCTCTTATAATAAACTGAGTAACTGAATTAGTTTAGAGAGTAAACTTATTATTGTTAAATTAGATTAACTTAATTAAATAATTATTATCAATTTACCATAGATTTTATGAGACATAGTAAAATTTATGATTCACATTATTTTATCTCAATTTAGACAAATGAACTTCAATCAAAACAAAGTTACTTTTCAATCTGTATTCAATTCCCAACTCCAATATGTGTTTTACTTTAGATAAACATATCTATTTATATCAGTGTAATTAAAAGACTGATCAAGGTTCGAAGAGGAAGCGTGCAATTAAGTTAAGCATTAACTGCATGTTAAGTGAAAGTTTACTTTAGAATTAATATGAATTTAATTAGTATGACAATGCATGTGGTAGGTAAGTTGAAGTGGCGGCCTTATTTCCAAAAAGCCCACTTAAGCTCAAAACATGGCCCATTGTGATACCACATGAATTGCATTGGTACGTACATACATATATTTAAATCAGTATACAGCCAACGCCGAGAAAGGTAACGACTCCCCTGAAGTCTGTCTGAAGGACAGTTCTATAAACTTGGCCAGGTCCCTAACATTACAGCATGACAGCTCGGTCAGATCGGTGAGAAAATGGGATCCGAAGATTTTTAATCTTCTTCTAGCAATTCATATGCAGTGTAATATTTTCAATGTATAAGTTATTTACTTCAGAGAGGATATATCATTTTCATTATTTTAGTTATTTTTTATGTTAGCTTTCTAAACCTCACAAGAATTGCAATATAACCTATATCAAATACTTGTATAATCTTGTAAGAGAGTAAAGTATTTAAAAATAGTGCAATTCATTTGGTCTTGAACTCGTAATTACTGTTTCGATCGAAATAAAAGTTGGTATATTAATTATTTGTGTTCAAGTCAAAGTCCGGAACTTCACAACAACATTTTTTATTATTTATTAAATAATTAAATTCAAGAAATATTTCCAAAACACCACTGATAATGGGAAATTTGCAATACCCGGAACAGCTGTATGGTGAGCCAAAAATTCAATTAATTAATGAATAATAAATTTTTTTTTGTTGTAATTTATTGCAAAATACCTCTCTATTAAAAATATAATTTCTATTTAGAATCATGGTTCCTTTAGTCATAATTGAGTTTAAAAATCAAATTTAATAGTAAACATGCGTAACTTTATTTTAGGACTTACCTATGTTATGTATTAGGATTATCGCACTGACTTTTACTACCCGTTTTGGTTTAGTTAGTATCTTTAATGTCATTCATTAACACGATATATGGTTTCTATATTCAAATTATCTTTTTTATAAATATGGTATATATTTATCATTTTATGCTCTTTACCGTTCACAAAATACTAACAATACTTTTTAACTTCTAATTCTTTTTGATTAGTGAAACAGATGTCGTACTATATGTAGTTCGTTAACCTTTCAGTTCTCAGTGAAATAAGTTACATAGTGAAATGGTAATTTATTAACGGTATGGAAAATATGTAAGTTCAAGACCATGTTGCCATAAGCTATTTACACTTCATGCTGCTATGTTTAAAATAACTTCTATTTAGTTTAGTGAGAAAGACTAGAATTATTAGAAAGTTGTCAACTATTTTTTCTATATAATAACTGCTGCCCACTGCATTTTTTTTCTTAACTTTAGACTTATGCAACTTTAGATGAACTTAAAATAATTTTAAAAATTATTTGTTTTAAAAAGAGAATTATTTCTCCAAATATAAACAATTTTAAATAATCCAACATAAACTTTTATAAATAAAAGCAAAATCTTTTCAATTCCCTCTCCAATACCTTTCTATTATATAAAACAAATTTTTTTTCCTTCTCCTTCAGTAATATAAATTTATTCTACATTCACACAAATCTTACAAATGATTGATTGGGTATATGCATATGTACATATATGAGTTATATAGCACATTCGATGTGTCCTGGACTACGTTACAAACATATTTTAACGAATTTTATATACACAATATATGTATGTAGGTATGTATGTAGGTGAGGGATGGCAACTAATTTACTTTAGTAAATTGGATTTTGTCATTATTTTTTTCTTCGTTAACAAATATCAAGCGGAGTAGATAATATAAAATTTATATCTTTGATGTTAAATACGGACAATAGTTATCATCGCTATATACCGACGTAGCATCTTCTTCGAAATCATGCAGTCATTCCAACTGGTGACTCATTAGGCTTGCAACTGAGATTTCTCAGAAAGAAAAATCATCCAAAACGGAGAATCCCCGTATAATAAAACTATAGTGGTTCAATTAAAATGTGCATATTTGTCACATAGTACGCATCTATCTCCAACGTTTATCCTGTTGCATTTCTACTCCATAAGATGTCATCAATGCATCATCCTGTAGCATTTACTTTTACTAAATAGATTTAAGGCCACGATATATTTCGTTGGTTAGATTCCTAAAGTTGGTTCTATGTTAATTGAAAATAAAATGTCCACAACAACAACAAATTTATGTTCTATACACACAAACACAATACTGGTGGAAAAATTAGTAACAGTAAAGCAGAAGTAAAAAAAAAGTTGGAAAAGTCTATCTTTACCTTTTTATCTTCACTAAACTTTTTATAAACTTTTTATAAAAATCAAATTTCAAACCACACACACATATTTACACTGTTTATATGGCCAGAATTTTAAGATTCAGAACAAAATGGGTTTAAATGTAGGATTCAAATAAAACCGAACACTGTTTGTGAAAACCGAATACTGTTTGTGAAAACAGTTTTAATAAACAGTTTCTTATTGTTTTGAAACCGATATTTCAAAACATAGTTATTTAATTATTATTTTAAATAATGTATGCAATCCAGATATAAAGGTGTATACATAATTCATTTAGGTCATGTAAACAGAATCAAATATGCTTTGTTGTTTTTTTACACGAAAATTCTTTATATTTGTTTCACTTTAAAATTTATATAAATTACTGTTCTATTAACAAATAGATGATATATTCTAATATCCACAATATTTTCATAGTAACCAATCTTGGTAGATTTTCTTACCTGTTTCTAGCAATTTTCTAATTGAACTTAAACCATTCAGTTATATATCCATAAATTTACTTTATATTTTTTTTCCAGACAACAGTTTTAATTATTTATAACTATTTCGTATTTTAATAAAATGTGAATTCTATATTTTGACATTTATCACGTACTTGCGCACAATCCACAACATTTCCCTCCAAAAACAACCGCTTGAATAAAAATCAAAACATAACAAATTACATCTTCTTTAACTGCTATCCATTGCATCTACTTTTCTCAAAGTGCTGCCAGCTCATTTTTTTCTTATTTTGTTGTGACAATCGTGTCCTTAAATAAACATATGTTTTTGACAAATTTTTTATTATTTCTCTTTACTCAATTTAGGCACGCTTTGTATAAATAAAGTGAGTGAAGTTGTTAAATAACAAATATTATTAATATTAAAAAGAAAATAATAATTCTTTTTATTTTAGTGAATTAAAAATGTTTGCAGTTCACTTGAAGAAATGTTTGCAGTATCCAAAAATATCAAAAAATATGTTTTGCACAGTCGCAGCACTAGAGCGGAATGGTATCGCACTTGTACCGACAGATTACCGCACAACACAAAGTAAAATAGATGCACATTCTGATGTACATATTGGGAAATTTTATACAATTCCACCAGAAGATAAAAAGCAATTATTTAGTGGAGGCGGTTTTCCTCGAAAATTCGAGGAACAAGTTAAAACATTTGCAGAATCATGTTTGCTAGTACGTTCACCTGCGTTAGAAATAATAAATTATATTAAACGTTCTGACTTAAGTCGCCCAACTGTTCGTTATGTTGTTTATGGTGACAACGGCGCTGGAAAGACATTGACCTTGGCACATGTCTTACACTATGGTTTGCAAAATGATTTTCTACTTGTACATGTGCCGTGGGTACCGAATTGGATGAAACGTCCTAAAGAAGTTTCTAATATACCAGAACGTGAAGGTTATGTAGACTTACCATTTGATGCGGCTGCTTGGTTAAAACACTTTAAAACACAAAATTCTACGCTACTACCTAAATTAAAACTTACGACATCTAAAGAATATGTCTGGAGCAAACGTGAAACAACACCAGCTGGTTCAAGTATAACTGAGTTGGTTGAACATGGTATTACACGCATTAAATTTGCTTCAGAAACTATTGCTGCGTTATTATCTGAAATTAAACAACATGCTACAGCTGGACAATGTAAAGTGATGGTTGCAATTGATGGATTCAATGCATTTTTTCATCCAGAAACTCGTATTTTGGGTGATAATAAACAAATCATAACACCAGACCGTGTTTCATTGACACAACCATTTGTAGATATAGCTAATTATAATTGGACAAATGGTGTTTGTATTGTAACTGTTGATAAAATTGCAATGACAGAAGGTTATATGGATTCTTATCTGCCACGATATTTGTTGGGTAAAGATGGTTTTGAATGCTTAGATCCGTTTATACCAATACATGTTGGTAATTACACCGAAAAAGAGTTTGCGAGTTGTATTAATTACTATTTGGATCGACATTGGATACAAAAAGCACCCCAAGGATTTGACGAACAATTAAAGTTTTTAAGTAATAAAAATCCATACTATTTAATGCATCTCACAAGATCTTTATAAATTCGCAATAACTGTTGCCTAAATAAACATTGAAAATAATAAATAAGACATTTTGTTTAACTTAATTTTGTATAATTTAATCTTTTTCAAAATTTATATTTCAAAACACTGTTTCGCAGTTCGTATATACGACGATGTCAACACAGTGTATAATTTATTTGTTAAAACAAATTACTATGTTACTTAACTGTTTTTAGTTTACTTTCTTGTTAATAACGTGTTCGCTTATATAGCAAAGATCTATGGCCATGTGCGATTTCGAGTAAATTGAGGGAAATAGTAAATTTTGTCAGTATGGCAGCGAATGTTGGTATTTACCAGAATTTCGTATAGGATAAATTAAATAAAAATTAGTTAAATTAGGTATTACCATTGCAAAATTTTTAAAAGATGTTTATTAAAAATATAAATAAACTTTTAAAAACTTTTAACTAAAAATAATAAATATGTGCAATAAATAAATATTTACATAAGTGTAGTGCGAAAAATGCCTAGGAAATTTCAATTTACTTTACTTTAATTTAGTCGAACTCGCACACGACCTATATAAATAAATGCACATTAAAAACCAAAAAAAATAGTTTTACTAAAACGTTCATATAAACCATATATAAATTAACAAATTATTTTATTGGAAACGCGTTAATTGTTATTAAAAATTTAATAAAAGAAAAAAATTTCAAAATAGAAGAGCTTCTGTCGGACAAAGTAAATTTTTGTATTATTTAGAATACCCTATATCGAAAAGTAATCGATAACATTATAATTTACCATCTCTAAAAAACAGTTGTCAATAATAAACAAAACATTGTGATGTCTAAACAGTAGGTTCTCTAATTATTATATAAAATTTATTACATTAATATATTTAATTTTAAAACATAGATATGGACTTATATTGCCTGGTCAAAAGAAAGCGCCAAATCCAGCTCCTCGGTCGAGCGAAGGTCTCAAACCTTCAGTTTTTGATGAAAGTAGTGAATCTGAAGAAGATAATGCACCACCACATTTGAAAATGAAAAAAACTCCCCTGGGACCAGGTTTAATGGAAAGACGAATGGCCCGAAGTATACAGGAGAAAGCCTTAGAAGAAGACCCGACTGTATTTCAATATGATGAGTTATATGATGACATGGAAAATAAGCGTGAAAATGAAAAAGACATCAAAAAGAGAGAACCAAAAAAATCAAAATACATAACACGGCTACTCGAAGTTGCTGAACGACGTAAACTGGAAAATGAATTACGCATCGAACGTCAAGTCCAAAAGGAACGCGAAGCTGAGGGTGAAGAGTTTAAGGATAAAGAAATTTTTGTTACTGCTGCCTATCGCAGCAAACTAGAAGAAATGCGTAAGTTAGAAGAAAGTGAGAAACGTGATGAATACCTCGAAGACATTGGAGACGTCAAAAAGCAAAAAAATATTGATGGCTTTTATCGTTACTTGTATGAACAAAAAACCGAAAAAACCGAACCCAAAGAAGTGCAAAAACCAACCTTACCTGAAGTATCTTCAAATGATAATGAAATGGAATACAAACCCATTAAATCCAACAAATCGCAACGAACCTACCGTAAACGACATTCATCCGACGACGATGATGCTGATGTTAAGGAAAAGGATGCACCAATATCAGAAACCAAGAAAATGCATTTACAGAATAATATAGATGCAGACTCAGATTTTAGTATAGACTCCTCTTCTGATGATGATGAAGGTCGTGATGATCTTCCTAATAAAAAAATGAAGAAAACTAATGATATAAAAAATGAAAAAAACAAGGAGAAACTTAGTCCAAAAATTAAAATAGATTCAACAAAACTTGCTTTAAAGCTGGATAAATTAAGAAAGGAAGACGATGAACCTGAAACTAAATCGATTGAAAATGAAGATAATAAAACGGTAACCGATATGATATTTACAAAAGAAATCAAAGAAACTAAACCCAAAATAGATAAAAGTGAAATATGGAAAAAGCGAACTGTTGGAGATGTTTTCGATGCAGCTGTGCAGCGTTACTTTGAACGTAAAGCAGCCAAGAGTGGATAAATCGTGTGGATAAAATATGTAATTAAAAAGAAATTTATTTGTTCAAAAAATGAATAAAATTTTATTAGTAAAAGAAAAATATGTATATAAGTATTAATTTCAAATATATTAAATTTTTACACAAAACATATATTCAATATTTGGAGTCATTTTATTTATACATATTTAGCATAAATATAGATTATTTTATATCATCAAATAGATCATCAAATATCTAAAAGTGAGTTATCAAATTATATTACCCCTTGAAGTATTTTATTGAAACTTCAAGTAAACGCGATTTACATTAAAAATTATCGTGATGTCGAAATAATTTTAAATTTCTTATCAAGTATAAGAAACAATTTTTTTTAAATAATTATACATATAAACAGAGAGAGATATTGATTTGAAAAATATGAGCTTCAATATATAATATTTGTTTTATATTAAAATTTCAATCTGTGGTGAAAACATTTTGATCACATCTATGTTATTACATACGGTATGGTGGTGAAATACAGCCTTGTCAAACATAAAAGTGTAAACGTCAGAGACAGTGTGAAAACAAAATTGATTTTTAATATTTTCAATATCTATTTTTTAAGAATTAATGAATTTGTTGCGAAAACAAAAAGTAATTGATACAATATATTGCATTCATTCATTTTAAACTAATTCATATAATAATTATATATTTAAAAATATGGCTGACAAGCCTCCTGTACTTCCACCAGCTTCAGAGCCATTTCCAGGTTGTTGTAAAGTATTTTTTATCTATATGTAACATTACCACATTTTTTTTTTCGTATAAACAGGTTCTCGTACCCCAGGATGGAATGATCCTCCTACATTACAATACAATCCACTAGCACCAACAACAAGCAACAATCGAACTCGTTTAAACCTAAATAAGCGAGTGGCTTTTCCACTACAAGGAGCAACCGCAAAACCAACTGCAATAGTCCCTCCGAATCAATCTTCTTTGCCACCAATTATGTCATTACCACCGACAGTGGCTGGCACAACTCAACCTATTGCCGTTGTACACCCAATGCCAAACGTAGGCACAATTCCCTTAAGAAATTATACATATACGGATGTTATATATGTATTAAGAATTTTGCGTGAACAGATTTTAGCGATAGTAGAAACAGCAGAAGTTTCAAGAGAGGAAATATTGAGACGTATTAATCCAATTGAACAGTTATGGCAAAGTATGAGTGCACCGGTACAGGAACGGCTTTATCGAATATCAGAAGGTATATGAATTGGTTAACTCATAACTTTTAATACAATACTTATTACTTATTGTTATTATTTTTTTATATTAATAGCAATAAGGGACAATAACTACAATGAATCGATGAAAGCATACATGACACTAGTAACACATAATGCCAATGAATGCGCAAATTGGAGTATGGCTTTAAAACATATAATATTAACTTTACAACCAGCCAACAATGAACAGGAACCATCTGCGTTACATATACAATCAATGTTCGTTCCAGGAGTTCCGCAGTTAGATGTAAACAGTGATATCTTAAGAGAAACAAATGCTCAAAACATTGCTTCACAAACAAATATTACCCATTCTGATATTCAGCACATTTGATAAAAACTTATCTATTTTAATTTTTTTAAAAGCACTTTCGTGATTTAGACTACTCTAACATACTTTTTGCTCGATATGGAATTTAAATACATATTTAAAACTAGATTTAGAATTGAAACTTTATATTTCTGCATTCTCTACGTATTGTAAACGTATTGTGTAAATCATTCTTATATTGTCAACACTAATGGAAAAAAAGCAAATTAAAGCAATCTGTCGCTATCGGCTTTAAAATATACTCATTGCTGGTGTACTGTGAAATTATGACGAATTATTACAAATATAAGAATTCTAATTGTGTATTATCTTTGTTAGCACTTTTCGTGTATTTAGTCAAAATATCTTGTAAGAATAGTAATAATTATGGATGCTATTTTTATATAATTTTTTTGCTGCAATAAAATGTGCTTCATTTCTTGCAATTTATATTTATAATTTGCTTAAGCAATAACATAAAATTTTGGTACTTTTAACTTTCAATTTTATATTCAACTTCATATTGTATTTATGCTTAAAGCTCTTGAATAAATACATGTAAAAATATATTAATTATATGCGTCTCCAATATTTATTTTACAATAATTTTAAATACTGTGGTAAGCATCAACATATAACAATCATTAATATATTTGTTTTATAAAGTTTATAAATAATTCCTAATGAAATGTGTGGCATGATGAACATAACTACAAGTGTACAAGCGTTTTTCAGGATTTATGAAACATATAGAAATGTTCTGTTCAATTCTTTACAAAAAGATAAATAATTCATATTTGAAGCATATCCGTTTTGCTATAGAATTTTATTAAAATTTTAGCCTTTTATATATACTATATACTTCACACATAATTAAACAAAGAAAAAAGTTTTCACCATGGCAAGTTCCCTCCATCATATCTAAAAAAGCCTCCGTTATGACTTTCATTGAATGTAAGTAAAGTTGATAATATATTCATAGTACTTGTGGTTACATCAAGTGGCGCATCCTTTCCTCCCACATCTGTGCGAACCCATCCCGGATGTATACTGACGCAAAGAATTTTATCAGGGGACAAGTCAATGCTCATAGATTTAGTAGCAGCATTCAAACCAGCCTAAAAAATTTGATATTGATTTATATGTGACTGCATATGTATATGTTCTGAGTAAATAAAGTACCTTAGATGTACGATACGGATATTTTGCACCATCTGTATTAGATGCAATGGAGCCACGTATTGAACTGATATTAATTATCGCTGCACGTTCTATACCCATTTTCTTATTTTGATTTGCTTTAGAAGCTTTTCTCAAAAGCGGTAAACAAGCCTGAATATTTGTAAAGGAAATTAATTTAGAATTTACCCATGTATTACTTTTGGTGAATTTACTTTTGTAAACATTATTGGCATTATTGTGTTTGTTGTAAGTACATCTCGAAGGTCCTCGTATTCCAATTCATCAAGTGTTTTAGTTTTTGGTCCTACTCCGGCATTATTAATTAATAAATTAATTCCATCGTTTTTAACAACATCCCCCACATGCTTTATTAAATTTTTGTAACTGTCAAAGTTTTGTAAATCTTAAAATATAAATAATTACTATAATATATGTATTTATATGTATACATCTAATTACCTATTTCCAATATATGTATATTAGAATGTTTAGCACGTAAGTCTTGTAGTTCCTTTAAAATACATAGTTAATTTATAATTGTAAATTATTAATAAGTGAATTTTACTTTAGCCTTTTCCATATTCCTACATGTTGCGAATATATTTTTGGGGGAATTCGATAACTCTGCAAATCTCTGCACCAGTCCCAAACCAAGTCCACGATTGCAACCAGTTATTAATACATTCATTTCAAATAATCAACTAACCTCTAAAAATTAAATCACAAAGATGAAATAAAAATATTTTAAAATATGGTTCAGTTTGAAATGTACTTCACCGAATAGTACGAAATAAGTTAATTTTTAGTGTTGTAAAATTAATAAAAACCGAAAGCTGACATTTGATTTATAATTTTGTTAAATTGATAAAAAGTACTTGTTTTTAAAAATAATTGATTTAACAATGAAATAATTATTATCTAAATGTTTAAAATTTGCTGTAACTTGAATAGTTTATATTGGGGACTTTAAATAAGCGTGACTTAAAGCAAATTTACAAATTAAAAATTGTAATTTAATTTTGCAAATTACAAATATAATTTTTTAATTTTGTTTTAAAAATTAATTTTACTATTTACAATATGAATAAATAAAATTATGTATATGATGATGCAGTGCTTAAAACAATTAACAATACTAAAGCAAAGGCAATAAGAATATAATTTCACAAAAAATGCCAAACAATAGCACTAAAAATCGAAAACCTAAAATCTTCAACATAATATATTAATTTATTTAAGATAGGTTTATTTAAAGTAGATTGAAAATGTTCACTTCATATGAAATATACTTCCAAATTGAATTTATATAAACTATAAAGTAAACTCCTTCAATGACTCTGTCACTGCTCAAATATATTGTATAGGCTTATATTAGCTAGTATATTTCACACCTAGTTCATTGAAAACTTGAAAATTAGATGTTAAATTAAACTAGATTTTTATTTTTAAACTTTTCTTGTAAACAGTACTAAATTTTTATTCAAAACAATAATAACATTTTGAAATCTAAATGGTCGAGCGCCCTCCGCTCCTACCTGTGTACGCCCATGGGTATAACAATTATTTATGAAGTTTTTTAAGTGCTTATATCAATCCTATTTATTACCCAAAGAGAAAACCCTCCACATAGATGTAATATCCTCTTCGAGACCAAGGTTGATTCACAATGTTTTCAACAGGCCCCCGCCTAACAACTCTCCATGCAGCAAGAACAATCCTAGTTCAGTTGAGATCAGGATATAGGCAAGTACTGAACAGTTAATA